TCATCTAGGCTTTGAACACTGAGAAAACATTCAAGTTTTTTTTCTTTTCTTTATAGTTTTTTTTTCTCTTTTTCATTGAATTTTCAACCATTTCAGAACAAGGCCTCTTAAACTATGCAGAAGTGATTGTGCAGCATATATAATATATTCCTGGTGCTGCTAAAGCTCCCTTTGGTTTGTGCTTCTCTGCAGCGGTGATATTAGCACCCAAACTTATGGAGAGGGCCCCAGTGTCAACATCTCTGTAATTTATGATCTAATCAGTTTTTTTCTATTTTTACCTGATGTTGTGTGCCTAACTGATGATGTTGCAATACCATCTAATGTAAATTGAATAGAACCTGGTGCTACAAAGCAGTGCAAGTTTCAAAGTCAGACGTTTCAGTATGCATAGTACAAAACACTACCTAGTTAAACTATGCAATAGCTCATATCGCAGCCTACAATTTATATTTACATGTTTGAGTTCAAATCTAACTGCCAATGGCCGCACTGTCTCAGCATGTTGTAACTGTGCTGACTCATCAGCATAAAGCAGCTTTGAAATAATAAAAACTAAATCAGAAATCCCTGCATTCAATTCATGATTATAATGTCACAAATCAATGGGTTGTCCTTGTGTTAGTTGAGGGTGGCCTCAGATCAGATCAGAGTCTTTAATTAGTTTTGTGTTTCGGCTTAAAACATACAATCCTACGTAGTGTTCGACCTAAACCACGTTCACCAGACTCCTCAAATCACGCGCGGATTGATTGCTTTACATCCAAATTATGGATCATGTACATTTACAGATACACACGCTGAGAGCACCATGGTAACCTAACACATAGCAGACAAGCTACTGACCATAGTAACACAACATTACATTCGATGCCGTACACTACACTGTACATTAAGGCATGAGGTGCCGTTGATGCAAGACATCAGCAGTAGATTCATTGGGAAATGCAGTGCACTGAGGAATGAAATGCACATCTATGAACTTCATCTATCACACCAAGGCAAATTATAACAACACAGACCCTCTTGCTATAGATATTATAATAAACTGTATTTAACATGAAAACTGGGCCTTATTGTTTATTAACTACTTAAATCGAATGCAGCATATTGGTGAATCCATGCATTAAGGATTAGAATAAAGCTGGATCTTAAAGAGTACCATGCTCTCTCTGCCTAATGTCTGACAATGTGTGCCAAAAAGATTTGAACAATTAAAACCCTCAAATGAAGGTTGCTGTGTTTACTTAATTAGCAACAGACAATATGAATATTATCGAGAACAATTTAAAGCTACTGCTTAGAGCACCAGAACCATCACTTGTCTGTAGCGTACACTTGATGATGATGACTGAACTTCATCCTTGTCCATGCAATGTGGTCAGGTCAGGAGTTATCACAGGAAAGACTGGGCTCTGTCTAATATGTGTCTAGTCAAAACCTGTATGATAAAGTGTAACTCAAGCAAGCTTTCTTTAACATATGCTGCAAAACTCTTTTGACTCTTTTGATAACAATGGTATGTTTCATGTATGTCTTTATAATGTAATTTATACAAACATGTGTCTACTTTACCCTAATCCTATTTTACTATGAGTCTATTTATCTATATTCCACTGCTCATGTGAACTACCAGTGATTTCCATGTATACTACAGCGTATAATCGATGTAACTGGAGGTCAGCACGATGAGTATTTAGCTATTTCAACAACAGTGTGTAGCTGCACAGTAACTAAATGCGAGTTGGACGAGTCAAGTCTATATTTAGTATATGTATTACTCAGTAATACTGTGCCATACTGCTCACTGCCTGCAGTGCACAATATTATGTAACTGTGCATGAGAGTGAAGCAAGTTACTTGCAGTTCATCTGATTTTCTTTTTTTACAATTTACAATACGACCCAGCTTCACTGAGAACCGTGCTTTCAAATCTGAACATTGCTGCACTCCATCCTACAATCAAGTCCAACATGAGATGACAATCTTGAACATATACTGTGACGTGTGCAAAACAAATCAACACAAATGATTTGAATTAAATCGCTTGACAATATTTTATAACATTCGAAACACCATGATCCTCCCCAGTTCCTTTTTTTTTTTTTTTTTACTGTCCTCAGTGCCGTTCACCAGGATGTTGCTACTGGAGGGTTTTGTGTGTGTCTCTGTCGCAGAAGAGTCCAAGAAAGTGCTCGAGATGTGTAGAAGAACATGGATGACTTCACCACCGCGAGGAAGCTTCCTGCATGTACAAATGCAGACAGTCCTGGAGACATCCTCCGGTCAACCAAGAGAAGTCCCCACCAGATTTGAGATGTCAAACCTGTCCGTCACAGAGGAATGTACACGTGGGCACTTCAGCTCTGGAGATGTACAGTTTGTGTAGCTTCCCAGGATGACAGCGATCAGGCTGATGGGACCATCCAACGTTAAGCCAGGAAAGGACCCAGGAAAAACATGTGGCGCCAACAAGCCTCATCGAAACATACAGGGAAATAATCGTGGTTTATTTTTGCTGGCCTTTTTACAGAAAATTTGCCTCAATTTGGAATCTCTTGTGTCTCCGGACACTGAATGCATTCATGTAAACTAAAGCCCTTTTGTGACAAGAGGCGACAAATCACAAGATCACGATACATCATAAATACGAGTGTGTCCAGATTCACCGCTCTCAGTTGTGCAAGCCGTACACAAACATTCAAAAACACAAGGGCTGGACAGAGATACAACTTGCCTGTATTTGCTTTTATGCATACAGGATGATAATCAGCATGGTTAGAGTGGATGAGTTCAGTACTTGATTCATGGCAGACTATACGATGTTGCATCTTGATGATGAGATCATACTGTACACGCAGTTTGGTAGATTGTACAAACACTTAAGGGCAAAGTGTTATATCTCTGAGACTTAATTTCTGTGTTGAGTTGCTGGTTGTTGCAGCTGATAAGCAGCACTTGGTTATCAGTTCAGGTTGACTGATGATAGTTATGACCACAGGTGGAAAGTTCTGTGCCAGCAGAGTGCTATTACTTTAAACTCAGATGGTGGAACACATAACGATCGATGTGAGTTGTTGTTTGCGCCGGACACACTGTGCCATTTGTCAGTGAGGCTCATATCACTGAGGTCTGAGTGTCATAAACACCAAGCTAAAAATACAGGGAACAAAGCTCAACTTAAACTGCCAGATTGAGCCGACCTTAATGTGCTGCAAACAAACCAGAGAAGGAGAAACTGTGCCTGAATAACTGGGGGCGGATCTAGTCAGCAGTGCTTATCTTCTATTGTATCTGTTACAAGTCACATCCGCGCTGAGTGGACTCCGGCGGGGACCCTGCCTTACCGCTCGGTCAGATGATGGCGGACGAGCCAGAAGAGGGAGAGTTCGAGTTAGGGGAGGAGGGAAGGTTCCAGAAAATCCACTTGCGTTTGCACTGCCGCCTCTGGTACAGGTAGTCCTCCTTGTCGCGTTCTTTTCGTGCTCTTTGGTAGTGGTCGTCCTCTTTGAGGTACCACACGGGTGGCCAGCGGTGTTTCTCAAAGTATTCTTGGTTCTCTGCATCAGAATAATCTGTTTTAGAAAAATGCTGAATAGGATTTTCAAAAGTCAATTTTAAACTGTCAAATTCTATACTATGTTTTTTGCATTTGAGCAAAGTCATAACACATTAATTGGAATCAGTTGGAAGAAACAGACTGAAGATATATTTGCATATTCTTAGACGCTGATAACGTTGTAGTGTAATATTAATTATGTATAACAACCAAACTTTCATTAATAAAGGAACATTTGAGTAACTGTGGATTTTGCAACATTATAGACTCTATAGAATATTAATAGATTTGATTTTATCATTGAGCAAACCAGAACTGTGGAGCCAGTAACTATTTATGTTAAAAGTCCTTGACTAGCCTGAAGTGCTTAAAGTCTCACTCAGGTGGAATGGGTCCATTGAGCTTAATCGGATTTTACAGATTTCATTTAAATTGGCCATCTGTTTTATCTAAAGCCTATTCTATACGTTTCTATATGTCATGCTGCCATGTTCCAAAACAAACAAGTGTGTATGTACTGCAGCACGAAACTGTGTGTTAGGTTTGTGTTTACATTTAATCAGAGGGCTGTTAACAGATCACATGTGTATTACCTGTAGACTTGGCCTTCATGTCTCTGGGAAACTTGCGGCAGACGCTGTTGTAGTTGGTGCAGATGTGGTGAAGACACCAGCCTGTGAGCTGCTGCGCACCGTGGAACTGTCAACATACAAAATCAGTATTCGTCATTTTTGTATTTGTTCCTGTACATGACAAGCATTGTTGTGAGGTTTTGCTGTTGATTTGGATGCAGACATCTTCTTAATCAACCTCAACCTAAATGGAATAAATATTTATATATATTCGTATATATTTATATATGTAGGCAACCTCAGGTTCAGATTGTTTTATTTACGTCTGCTTGGTGCGACTTGCCTCTACGTTTATATACATTTTGCATCAGCAATCAGTTTCAACTGCAGTAAATCAAACTTTATTGTGTTAGCATTGGCATGCTAACTTAGTGTATTGGTATTATTAATGCAAATGAGAAGGTACAGTACAACAACTGATTTATGAGCCTTTCATAGACATATATGTGTTTATGTTTATCAATACATGCTGATATGAAAACTTTTATTTTACAGACTAAACAATGTAGAAAATGTGAGCATTTATCTTTACATTTTACATAAAATGTATCTTTATTTTCTATGTTATTTTCAAGGTCTATATATTTGGTTATATTTGTGTTTTTGTCTTATTTATAATAAAGATTATATTTCAACTGTAAAATATCAACCCTTAATAACATTTCTTATCAGCTTACAAATCATGGTAATTTCTTTTTAAAATACCTTTTTTTTTAGCTTTTTTTTTACTCCATTATATCATTATCTGCATCAGCCCCCAAACGTCTCCAGATTAGTTTAAAAAAAATGCAGAAAAATCCATTTGGATTCAATTTTTGTCCTTTAGTGGTGCATATCACTAAAGAAATTAGCAATTGATCAAATTGCCACAGAATGAACACAGTCAATGAAGTGGAACTACAGTTGAAGCAGAATCCCATCTGCACAGTCTGAATGATGAGATAAACTTTGGCGCTGAGCCAGACCGCAAAGTCCACAATGTCTACTGGCCTTAAGGTCATTTGCTAATTATTTTTCCAAAAAGCTGTCATGCACTATTTAAGACTGCGCTTCTTAGGCTCCACCTACTGGGTGTAAAGATTACGTCAGCTTCCAGAACAGTTCTTCCTGAGGACAGCTCTTTACAATTAGCCAAAGTATTATGTAAGGGCTTCAAAAGCTATCCTTGTTCTGAGATGATGTCACAGTCTACCTGGGCCATATCCAAGTACACCAGCACATCTCCATCAATGTCAGCTCCCATCATCGCTGCCTCCGTCAACACTGTTACTGTGTAGAGTTCTGGAAGAGGCATAAAAGAAAGTCAGTGCAGGCGACGCATTGACTTAGAAACTTAGCTAAAATCCTGTGGGTTACAGGATAATAACTTTACTAAATATACCTGTAAGTGCAACCAGGTGGGGGAGGCAAAGACGATTGGCAAGAACAATCAATTCCATTGCATCCAAGTCAGGTCGAGAGCAAAACCGCCCTGTGTAGAGATATTCCAGCACAGCCCTCATACAGCTGCGAGTAGTGTTGGGAAACAGCACCTTAGAAACATAAACAAGTGTTTGAATCTCCTTTTCACTTTTGTTATTCTATGATGTAGATAGTTGAAAATCGTCATTTACTTGTTCAGTTCTACTTAAGCTACAGCAGCAACAACAACAACAAAAAAGCTGATAACTGATCATTATATCTAAAAATAACTTTGAGTAACCGTATGATTTATTTTTTCAAACAACCATATTTAAATCTCACACTGCAGAGGTAGTTCATATGGTGCATGCAGAATCTTTTAGTAGCATTATTAAGGTGGAAAAACAGAGTACAGCTGAGGTCACAGAACAACAGTGTGCTTAGATCACAGAAGCCACTGTAATTGTATTAAAGCAGATTTGCAATCCTCTAATTAAATTATAGTTTGCACACAGAGCACGTAGTTCATGCTGCTCCACTTGGGACAGTGCATGTATTGATCTTTGCAGCCATAGTGCGTTTCGTGTAATTATATAGCTGAAATGGTGTGTAACTTTGGTGTGTATTTGAGCTCTGTGATATCATGCGACTCACCTCTTTTGTGCAGCTCTCCACAAAGGGCCCCCCGAACATAGCTGCCATCCAGTCACAACTAGAGATGAGTAACGGTTTGTGAGCCATGATCGTCCCATCGTCTAGCTTGAATACTACATCTGCAATACAGAGGTGAGACACAAGTAGTAACATCTGGATCCACTGTATTTTGAGAAGTAGGCCTATACATTTAAAAAACAGAACATGGCTTCGTGGTTTCCACTCACCAGAGAAGGTGCCTTTAGCCAAGCACTCTTTGACTCTGTTTGTGCGCCGTACATGGAAGGCTTTGGTGATTTCTTGGTTCATGAAGGCTTCATTGTTAAGTATGTTTGCCACCATCATCCGCAGGTCAAAGACCTCCAGCAGCTCAGCAATGTGTGCAATGTGCATTAACTCTTTCTCATTCTCGTCCAGCTGACCTGTGTACAGGTAGCGGAGCACTGCTCGGAAAGGACCCAGCTGCATGGACTGGTCCATGTGCACAACAGTCATGGGCCTAGGGCTGTAAGTAAGAGGGTCATCGACCAGCTCCTCCTGGATGCTGACGAAGGCTCTGCTCCACGATGACAGCAGCCTGCCCCTTCGGCCCCCCTGTGAGTCCTTCAAGGTCCCATCGCTAGTGCAAGCCCTCAGGTTGGCCCTGTCTCCGTCATCGCTGCTCTCGCAAACGTCAAAGCTAGCAGCACGCATCAGCAGCTCTCTGCCAGATAGAGGACCGCGAGTGGGCCTTTCATTCTCCTCATTTTGCGTGTCCATAATGAAGAGGTCGTAGAACTTTGAAGAGGAAGTCGCCAGGTATATCTTATGTGCAAAGATTTTCTGTCGCTCCTGCAAAACCAGAATGACGTCAGCACAGTGTGGGTCCTCAAGCAGACCAACTGGATGCTCCTCTGTGGTGGTTGGGGGAGGAGGCACAGTGATTATAGGAGGGGGAGGTTTCGGTGGCAGGAAGGGTGCCTGAAGGAGAGGCCGCTGCACGTTTCTGAGGTGAGATTTCCAGAACTGCAGGTGGCGGCGTGAGATGAGCGCAGCTCGGATAGCATTGTCAAAGACGTCCTTGACACCGAACTGAGCAACAACACTGGTTTCATAATATGGCACTCCCAACTCTTTGGCCACCTCCCGACCTCTCTCTGGAGGAAGAATCTCATTTGATTTAATAGGTCTGAAAAAGAAGAAAATATGTCAAGAGACAACTCTGAAACAAACTCTGCCTTGCAAATAAATACATCTCATTAGTCTCGTTACCGAGCTAAAGGCCTCCGTGCCCTGTTCACTGCCTCCAGGTCAGCGTAGCGCAGGTCCAACTGACAGCCCACCAAGATGACAGGAGCACGGGGGCAGAAGTGTTTGATCTCGGGGTACCACATGGTCTTCACATGGTACAGAGAGTTGGGATTGGCGATTGAGAAGCACAGCACCACCACATCGGACCTGTAGGGAAGACGCAGGAAAAGTTGTCAAACCATAAAACAAGAAGACCAACAAGACCAGCTAGAATACTAGCTGGTCGTCTGAAATTTAATTTAACAGTATCTCACCGGCCATATGCAAAACGTCGGTCCTTATGATGGTCTCCGAACGTGTCCCAGAGACGAAGGGACACGCTGACGTCATCCACTACATCTCTAGAGCGCTCTAGTACCTGATAAGAAATGATACGTTCATCAGCCTCTGTGTGACAATGACTAATGAATTACTGCAAAGCCAAAGGTACATATGGTGCATGCTTTTCTCATGTCTTCATCTCAATCTTCATCTGGAAATGTATTTGCATACTCACCTCCTGGCATACTCTGTACTGGTCAATTGCCCAGACCGTGGGAACATGTGTAGCGAGTAACTGGTACTGAGTCAGTGTGGCATTGCAGGCTCGGGCGCAGATAAGGCGGGTCTTTCCGACTGCATTGTCTCCCACCACCACACACTTGATAGTTTCAACGTTTGGCCTCTCATAGTCCATATCAGAATCTGTCAGCTGAGACCTGTCGAGACACAAAGAGGCGCTGAAAATCTGCATCAGCACCAGAAATCCTAAAGTGTGGTCCTGAACGGCACAGGAGCATGAATCTATGTGGATATCAGACACCGTGGCTACTCTTCATCATCTGCATAGCTTTTTTTTCCTGCCTGCAGAGCTATCAATGAATGTCTCGTGACTTCCCGGTGCCCATTCACAATTTCCCTGTCCCTGGTCCTGATATAAGATTTTTATTTTAAAGCGACAAGCAAGCGATCCTGGCCAGATATTTCTGTAACCCCATGAGGCCAGCTTTTCCCTCTTTACTGGTCCTGTAGCACAATCCCACACAACCTGGACCTAAAGCTTAACTCCGGTCACCACAGTTCTCATTCACAGCAGTAAGTGCTAGAAATCTGGTATGCACAAATACGCCCTCACTAAATAGAGATGGAGGACAAAGGTAAACAGACTATTTCTGTCTTGTGAAAATGGTGGCGGATGATTTAGATACTCACACTGGTTTCCAAGGGAACTGTGGTCTGTGTCTGGGTGTGTCACAGCCTTTAACGGACAACAATCCATGTATCAAACTAATTCCACTAACTAAAACATATTTTACAAAAGCAGCAGCAGCAGCAGCGGCACATAATCATGGCAATAACCGAATGTCAAATGTCATATTAGTGTAGTTGTCTAACCTTATTTTGGTTCTAATATGATCCATCACATCAAACAATACTTTAAACTCTGTATATCCATATGTCCCAAATTGAGTCATGTTTGACTCTATGTGTTTAAACACCAGAGGAAATTTCTGAGTTTTGCACCTCCCTCCCTGCACTAGGAATCTTGGATGAGAGTAACCACTCCTATACAGTGCTACCTTCTTTGTGAATGAGATCAGCTATAGTGTCCATGTGCCTGCCTGGACCCCGATGGACTCCACTGTCCCTGTGTTCACTACATGACATCTAAAGGATAATATTGGTCCCCCACACTACAAACAAAGGTGTGGATGAATTTACTTCCATGAAAATACAATGATGTACACACTGCTATTAATATTACTATCAAGGGTTACTGAGATTTCTTTATTCTAAGGGTCATTTGCCGTTTGCAGCCATTCATAAAGCCCTTTCATTGACAGCATCTACATCCCTCTGTGAAGGAATACACTCATATTATATACAGCATCAGTGCATAAATATATATAGGCCTTTATGTATATAGATATATCTGACAGTGTGACCTATAAGGCTGCATGGGCCTATAACACAATAGGGATGCACCGCCTCTAATATTGCTCATGCATGCTTTAGTCTACGATGCGCAAAGAATCAATCCATAATTTTTCACAAGATTAGACAAAGACCTGTAGTATTTTCTCTTATTAATAAATAAAAACCTGCAGCCTGCACCGCGATCAGCCATAATAAAGACGATAAAGTCGTGAATTTCCTACCAGGAGGACCGCACAGTCCCTCCACCACCACCGAGTCATGAGGCTCTGCTGCATTACACCTTATGTAACAGCCCGTCACTGACTCCTGAGCCTGTTTATCCGCGTTCCCAACACTCGACAGCGGCATTCGTGCAATAAACCCCCCAGTTTGATTCCCCCCGCAGCCTGGACGCGTCTCATCCCCCCGTCTCCCGCTGCCTCTTACCGTAACATGAGGAAGTGCTGCATCGGGTTGGTCGATGGACGCGGAGGGAAGCGGGGCTCCATCGGATGCGGCTCGCACCTGTCGTCCGCTCGCGTATAACTTCATCTTCGAGGCGAGGTGACCGAGGCTGGAGAACAGGAGGAGGGGGTCCTCTGGATCAGCGCGATTAGTCCGAGCGCAGCGCCCAAAATACGCAGCCCGATGTGGAGCGTGTCGGTGCCGTGCAGAGAGGCTGCAGCAGCCCTGACCGTCATGAACCACCTCCGCTTACTGTAAGGCCTCCGTGGCTAATAATAGCCAGGCGCACAGGCGAAAAAACCCCCACACCCCATTCATTACAAAACACTGATCCACTTTAAAGACGCACGAATCCCATTCCACGGCTCCAGTCAGCCGGTATACACTGACCTCCAGTCCACTGCCTTTACAATACCGCTCCCTCACTGCACTGTGCGTGGTTTCATTTTGGTAGAAGTGTAAGAAAAATATGTAGAGCTGCATCCCTGAAGTGTGCCCAGCATCACACCACAGAGCCGGAATAATGAACTCCCTGAAGTACTAATTGATAGTCATGTCTCCAGGGACGCCTCTATATTCAATAGGGACAGGTGAGGCTCATCCTGCAAAGAGAAACCACACACACACACACACACACACACAGTTGTGTCTCCATGACTCTATGACTTACATGGACTTCCCGGTGCATTACTTCAGCCTTAACCATAGTTACAACTCATCAAAACTCTAACCCAACTCTAACTAATCCTAACCCAAACCTAAATCTCAACCTAAACCTAACCTTAAAGCATAAAGCATGTCTTCACCTTAAACTTCCATGATATACATCATGTGGACTTGCCTTTTGTCCCCATAAGAAAGACAAGACAGCATGCAGTACACACACACACACTCACTCACACACACACACACACATAGCTTCCATATATTACAACATTTAATAAAAAATAAATAAATTGTATGTCTACAACTCAAAAAACCAATTGTTTACATAGATCCATTATTGTTTAATTCAACAGCACCATCTAAAGAAAAATGCATCAGTCATATATTAAGCACTTGGTTCTTTTGACTCTGCACGACTTGCTTTACATGAAGCAATCATGCATGACTCGCTTTACATGAAGCAATCAACACCCTGAATCTCTGTTTTTGAGGTAATAAACCTTTTAACATTGAAAGAGTGTGCTTAAAAAACCCGAAAAGAATCTGGTCATTGCCACCTGAAGTAAAACGTCCCAATCATAACAAGAATGGTAGTTTTTAGCAGTGTTGGCACCTGCAGCAGTGTCAGTTTATCTATTGGTTAACAAGTTTTAGGCAATTCAGAGTGACAACTTAATCTCGTAGAATGCAGAACAAAAGTATGACTGACCACTTCTGCTTTCCAATAAGCAAAAAGCTACTTATCACTCACAGGTACTGACAGCCATAGTTTGTCCTGTCGGAGAAATAACGGTTGTTTCCACTCCAGGTCGATGCAGCCTCCATCATCACAGCCCCACATGATGCAATATGGAGAATGTTTTAAATCCACTGAAATCCAGTATCTCAACAGTTACTTTTTAATCTTTTACCTCTGTCTCTCTGTGTTGCCCTGAAGTGCGTCACAGCGGAACAATGCAGTCCAGTGTTTGTATATCTTAACTTTGTTTCAGGACCAAGAGGATCAAATTACAGTTGACCTTTACACTTGCACATTTGAGACAGCATTTCTATTTTATTATTTATCTGGGTAGAGAAAGTATGTTAAAGATCCTAAATTACATCTGTCCCCCCACAAAGTGAAATGATGCTGGTGCAGAGGACTGGGTGGCACTGAACCAGGAGAGTGACATCTATATGACATCTATGTTATTGAAATCCTGCAGTGTTCACTCTGCTCCACCAGGTGAGGCTGACAGTCAACATTTACTTAATCCCAACTTTAATTCTGAGCAGTGACATACAGAGAGCAAAGGGTGGAATAATTTCCTTCAAAATAAAACAGATGGAAGACATTCACTGTAATAAAACGCAAATGATATAATCATACAATATCATGATGAATATATGTTGTTGTACTGTATATATACGTGTTTTAATAGCAACTGCGTCGAGTCTTCTACTAACTTTGAAGTAGTAAACCATAAATAATCAATCAATGTATCAGCAAGTAAAACAAATCATAAATAATAACAAAACAGAGACAGTCAGGAGAACATTGATCGAAATAGTTTTAAAGATAACCAATGTTCTTTTGTTTTTTTCTCTTTTGCTTCCTAAATTTTTTTGTTGTGGACGGCTGTGACTTAGGAGGTAGAGCGGGTTGTTCACTAATTAGGAGATCAGTTGATTGATCCCTGAAATGTCCAAGATACTAGACACCAGAGTATGAATGATTCTTGATTGGAATAAGTAAATTGCTGCATATAGTAGTGCTGCATGAATGTGTGCGACTTGTGATGTAAATTGCTGTGAGTTGTTGATGAGAATAGCAAAGTGCTATATATACAAAAGATGGTCCAGTCCATCTAATGTTTAAACAGTCAACCACCTCTCATTGATTTATTTTGTCCACATTCTTTCTTATATCCTGCTTTTGTTTTACTGCAGTTTCCCCAGAGTAATTGAAAACTGACAGTTCAGTCTGAAATTCAGTTTTTTATCAGGCAGTAAAATAACAGAGCAGTATTTCCCTGCAACATGCAAAGCATCTCATCTACTATAACAACCATGTAATCTGCACAAGATTTAGAAATTACTCTGCAGTGTAAATCCACAGGTGCTGGTCAAATGCAGTATATAGTGAATGTGGTAAACCATTTACTCAGCTTGGATGCTCGTGAAAGTGTAAATATTATAACAGTTGAAGTCTTTATCTTCACAAGGGGAGGCTTTGCTACTGATGTCCTCCACTTAGTTACTTAGAACTGTGCGACAGCAGTTGTAGTAAATCAAGAAAGATAAACGTTGCGTAAGCAATGACCACGGAACAGCTGTAAAGGGAACTTTGTGCCAGAGTCCAGTCAGGTTAGGGTCTCTTGAACTATTCAGAGTCAGAAGATTTGTTGCTGTCTGGGGGTTTCTGCTACTTCTTCTCTATGGCTGCTGCAGAAACAGAATCCAAAGCTCCTTTCTCTCTGGATTCCTACCACGTGTCTGAGGAGCTCGGCTTCATCCTCCCCGAGCCTCTGGTAGGTGGAAAATGTCGTCTTTACTCTAATTTAAAAAATAATTTCCCATGTGTAGTCACCATTAAATATCTGACCATCAGGAAACTGTAGTGTCTGGATGATATTAAAAAACAGGACTTTCATTTAAAACAACTCCATGAGGCTGATTCTTATATACTGAAGACACAGTAACAAATAGGGTGATCAAACGAGTAATACACAAGTAAATCCCTGTGTGTGAGTAGTTATAAAATGGTGAACTCTGGTTGGTGGTATTGATTTAGATCAGCTGACCGAGATAAGTTAAAGCTTTGGCATTGTTCATGCTTGTTTTGTGTATTGAACTTTATTCCGACCCAAGACCGTTATGTTTTCACAGCCACATTTTGTTTAAACTCTTCAAATCCAAGGTCACTGTTGATGTAACAACATTAAATGAAATTTTGAGCCTTAAAATTCAGAGTAAAAACATCTCTGATTCTTCCATTAATTACAAGTTCACATTTGAGCACTGTTGAGTTCCATTTCCCTTTGTCACAATGATGAACTTTCCCTCATGATGAACACTCAACTGCAACACATTCAAAGACAGAGCTCCCACCTTACTACCAGCCATGGATGGATATTGCCCTGCGAGTCCCAGAGCTTTTGCTCTCTCACGAGCTGCGCTCACATATTCACAAGGTAAGAAGGAACAATCAAACAGGCAAGGACAGTTTGAAATGTTTATGGAGCTGTGGTTCAGTGATGTTGATCCTCTCTGTGCAGATGCCGCTGCTGAGCAGCAGCTCTTTACAGAAACACCGGGAGTTGAGGCTGGCCCACCTGACCCTCAGCGCAATGACCATGGGCTACGTTTGGCAGGAGGGAGAGAACGACACAGTTGAGGTAACGCCTTCAGATTTTCTTTTTATCATCTTTATTGTTCTTCTATTTATGAATTTTTTATAAAATATCTCTATAAGGTTCTTCCATGTAACCTGGCTGTTCCATTCTGGGAGGTGTCACAGCGGTTGGGACTTCCCCCAATTCTCACCCATGCTGATGGAGTACTGGCTAACTGGAGGAAGAGGGACCCTGAGGGGTGAGGCCATTAATCGTCCTCACGTAGCTTTTTTTATGTTCCATATAAGTTTTCGGTATAAATATGCTTTGTTTCTGTTTCATGTACAACTTTGCATCTCCTGTTTCAGGCCTTTTGACATGCAGTGAGTACATTTTCATTTGCGGCCTCTACACTTTATTTATCATATTCAGGTGCTGCATGTAAAATGTGTGTTTATTCATGTCACACAGGAACCTGGAGTTGCTGGTCAGCCTCCCAGGTGGAGACAGCGTCCGAGGCTTCTTCATGGTCACTCTGCTGGTGGAGCTGGCGGCAGCTCCTGCACTGAGGGTGAAGATGTATTAAAAAATAAAAGTCACAATTAAAACAAACGACATAAATCAAGTAAACTGAGCCAGAGTAATTGGATATGTGTTGCAGAGCATCCCCACTGTGATCAACGGTGTCAGGTGCAGAGACACTGAGGCTGTGGCCAGAGCCCTGGAGGACATGAGCCAGTCCATGCAGGATATGACTGATGCATTCAAATTGATGCAAGGTTCTCCCTCACACGTATAGCTTTGTCTATTGAAAATGAATTGATATTCAAAGTATTTTTGATCAATGTGATTTTTCTTAAGTGCATGTGGAGCCTTCAGTCTTCTATGGCATCATGAGGATCTACTTGTCAGGGTACAGACATTTTAAAATTTAGTCTTTATTTGTGTAGTTGAACATGTTTTTGAAACATATGTACATGTGTCTAGATGGAAAGACAACCCCAGTATGCCAAAGGGCCTGGTCTATGAGGGGGTCAGGACAGAAGCGATGGAGTTTTCAGGAGGAAGTGCTGCACAGAGCAGTTTGCTGCACTGTTTTGATGAACTTCTGGGAGTCAAACATGAAGAAAAAAGTGGTATGATGGCTACTTTTCATGTTTTTTTGATCCTTGCATCAATACTGGAGACGAATAAAAGGCCTCACTGTGATTTATAGGTGCCTTTCTAACCCGCATGAGGAACTACATGCCACCTGCTCACAGGCAACTAATCCAGGACATCTCTCTGCAACTGCCTCTGAGGAGTTTTGTCCAGCAGCAGGCCAGCGAGCGTCTAAACCAGGCCTTTCATCTCTGCGTCTCAAAGCTGTTGGCTCTGCGCAGCTACCACATCAACGTCGTCAGCCGCTTCATCACTGTGCCCGCTGCCCGAGCCCGACAGCTCCGTAAGCAGAAATTGGACTTAGAGGGAGAGATGATCAGCAGAGCACCCACAGCGCTGGAGGAGAGGGGCACCGGCGGCTCCGGTATCATGACCTTCCTAAAAACTGTGAGGGACCAAACTAAAGAAGTCTTCCTGCCCGAGACAAACAAAGACATGCATCTGACGTGAGGAGACACAGCAAAGTGAGATCTGCATCACTTAAAACAGGCAGCAAATCCCTTCTGTTTACTGAGTGCACCATTTCATGTGTCATTAAAGGCAGAATGAGAGTGAAAGGCTTGTGATGCTTTTCTTATATGGAGCTTTGTTGTGTCTACAGACAAATCTCAGCTTAATAGACATGAGCGATACCCATCATTCAGTCCAAACCATAATTCAATTGTTGCTACTTTCCATTAAACTCAACCACTAAATCCTTCTTTGAACTGAACTGGAACAAAAAGTGCATCCAACATCTGTTCAAGACAAATATATCCAGAGTATATTTGAACATTAAAAAACTTTACTCATGACTGAAGCCCCTTTAGAAAGTGATTGAGACATTTAGTTAGTTTAGAAAAAACAAAGAGGCTTTGTTTTCTGCACATTGAAAATGTGGCTGGCATTTATCTTTTATCTTTAATCGTCCACAAAGGATACTGATAGTTTAAAAGTAAAAATAATAACTTGGAGAATGAACAAACAAGAATGACATATAACTCCACCAGGGCCAAACAAATACTACACGTCTGTCTTGCTCTTATAATAACAGAAAATAAAAGGAAAAAGAAAGTCGTCTGATACATAAACTGTATATAAAAATGGATGAAGACAGTTCCCCAAAAGTGACGCCAAAGCATTTAGATCCCCAGCTGGCTGGAGTATTTGTTATAAACCCACCTCCTCTATGTTAGTAGATGGGACATGGACCAAGCTAAAATGTCAAAGTACACATCAAATACGTTTCAGTAATTCTCATCACACTGATGCTGTCCAATTGTTAATTTTTGGGTTAAGTTTGGTTTTGATTAGTTTTGATGCAATAATAATGGGGGTAGATGTCATGACTAACAGCTGAGACTGACTCATGATGGGTTGAGTGTTTGTATTCATTGGAGCTTGAAACCCCTGATCACTCCAGACTCCGGCTCCAGCATCATCTCTGGATCGAGGTATGTGGAGATGCATTGTCCTTTAAATACAGTCTGTGGTTTGAACATGTGCAAACAAATTGTACAAACATTAAGATATCTACTCCACAATCATGTCTGGATTTATTTTCACCATGATCCATAAATTATTTCCTGATATAATGTCTAAAAATCTTGCAATAATAAGGAAAGTGGAAAAGATGTGGATCAGCCTCTTTAACTGAATCCACACTAAAATTTAAAAGGTTCTAATTTCAACCGATCCGTCAGACAAATAACAAACAGGTAATACAACCTCCTTGTTGGCGGCAATATAAATCTGAAATACTGACTGCACCCGTGGCACTAACAGGCAACACTATTATTCAAGATCTCACAGGGTTTGCCTCTAAATAAAAAATTAGGGTAATACCAGCGTGCATTAAGGCCTTGTCTAAGTCAAAGCCAAATGAGTAGCATGACTGAAAACTGACTTCATGAAATAACATATTCATTAATAATTATTGTCACTTGAGGACATGTTGAAATCTACACCGACTTACATCTTCCTCACGTTAAAGTATCGACAGGCTGAAACTTGACGTTTCCAGAAAATAATCATCCTGTTGTTTCTCAACTCTTCTGCTGCCTCACAATGAGGTTGTCATGTCAAAGCACAATGCACAATGCAGGGCAGAGATGCATCACTTATCAGAGCGGTTACCTCAGCTCTCCTGAAACACCCTTTCCGGCGGCCCACATCCAGCCCTCACATGCCCCGCTATACTTTCTGCACTGGGAGTGTGGAAAACCCAGAGCGAAGAAGGGATGGATTGTGCTATGAATGACTCACTGTGTGTAATCTTCACCTTTCTTTGCTCATCTCCACTGGTGTTTCATTACAATAACAGCCTTGCGAGATCAGATAAGGCAGACGACGTGGCAATTAGACTTGACAATTCCCCCCAACCTGAGCGATCTACTATATCTCGCACTCCTTTTTTTCACACGCCGGGTAGCAGGGAAAACAATGGAAAAGTGAATGAAAGAGAGAAAAAAAAAATTACGCATGCAGCCTGTCAAGTTGGGGCCTGTCAAGTGAGTGAGACATTTGTTAAAGGTTTATTTTTGGAGTGTGTATGAAGACAGAAATTTCAATCCATTTTGTCGTGATTGATGAACAGCAAATACATTCAAAGGGATATTAATCATTCACACTTTCACTCACCGCATCGAACTGCTCACTCAGACACGTTTCACAACCTGTTTCACAAACTGTTTTGCACACAGAAACGGGAAGACCCTAGATGAGGAGGTGAAAGGTGAACAGAAACTGTGCTCAGATGGAGGGAGCTGGGTGGTGTGGAGAAACAAAAGCGATCACATGTCAGTGATCTGATTAGAGCCTTTTTCCACAGCCAAAACAAATAATCCCTTTCCTTATTGCCTGACTGTGGAGGACTCCCTGACAACCCGACGGTAAACACAGGCCATCTCCAAGGATGTCTTCATTGTGTAGTCGAGCCTTTTTTAAGTTTCGCCCCGAATCACAACAGTGGCTGGTTTCAGCTCAGGTCATGACACAAACATATGTCCACACACACCCATTTTTTAATGAATCATTTGTGCTGTGTAATGGTTTGAGATGCATCATAATATACAAGGTATTGGCTTTTATTGATGTACTGAGCTAAATGTTCCAAATCACCAAAGGTTTCCGCAGAATTTGAGTACAGACTTTCCACGCAAACGCTATCTTTAATTAACTCAGCAAGTTAAATAAGTGATTTTCCTTACGGCAGAGGGCATCTGGAGTCATTCTTGTTTTCATAAAATCCATTCACACATCCATATTCCATCTATCAGTGACGACAGCACTACAGGCGTGGGTTCTCCTTTTGGTTAGACAATCGGATGTCTGTGCCTCGGTGGTTAACCACAGGATATCCTGAATTCTGTTATTTCAAAATTGAATTTATGATGCTTCGACTTACCTCAAGCCAAGCAAAGCCAAGACCTGTTCTCACCCTGCAAATGAACAGTTTCATTGGCAGCAAGGAGGACTTGATTGTCTTTGGTGTGCACTTGACGGGCGTAGCTGGGAATTATGGGCAGTATGTGCAATATAGTAGGTGAGTGGGCGTCTTCTTTCCTATTTTCCATTCATCTTGACCTCACTATCTTTGTGAAACATCTATGTGCACACTCCCAGAGGGCAAAGGCGGCTTCATCATTCACTTACTGTTCTGTTTTTGACACACCCTCATTTAAATTGTGTTAAATGTGACGTCTATGTATCCTTGTAGGCTCACCACCATGTTTAAAAGTTGCCTTTAGATGTCTGTCATCTATAGTCTGAAATGTACTTTGGTTTGCTATCTTATTTCTTATATAATACACTTTGAAGGCCATAAAAAGCTTGATATTCACAAGGAACACTTTTAGTTTGAGGGTGGAAAAGAGGACGGGGGTTGGCAAGTAAGTCTCTCTAATCCAGAAATGTGCAGACGCCCCTCTGGACATTAAACACACCGACGAAACACAACGCATTAACTTATACGAAATCAAACTTTGTCAAAATATACTTGCTATATACCTCATTCAAATAGATAGAAACTTGGCTAAACGCCCATGACCATTTTCGACCAAACAAAACACAGTTACAACAACACGGCAATCAGCATGTCAAAACTGTACATCTCCAAAAATTAGGTACTGACCATCATGCTACTTCATGCTAACAACACGCGATATCATATGAAAGCCCAGACGCCACAAATTTCAATGGTATGTTTTTTCTCTGAACCAGCAGCCGAACAAGAGCCCGAAAAACCACACATGAGCTACTTCGAACTTCTGATGGTTTGTTAAGTTTTCCAAATAAAAGGCTGTAATCCTGCTAGAAGACAAACACTGTGCTGAAGAGGAAATGATTCTATCAGAGTTGTTGCCATCAAGTGCATCCGTGAATGTCTGTGTCAGTCCGATATGATGAAATAAAAATAATTCATGATCAAAATGATGAGGTGGGCCAGATATTTTTGTTGGCGGGCTACACTTTTTAACATGGGCCCACCAGTCTCCAACCACAAAACCTCAACGCAGTGGTCGGAGTAAAAGTAGAAGCCACAGTAGAAAAGAACTCTCTAGTCCATCTGGTGTGAATCATCTTTCCCACAGTAACAGCATTAAGAAGGTTTCCATAGAGGCCTTTCTCCTCAGACTTTTCCTCCTGCTAGTAACCATAATACAAAACATCCAGCTCATCTTTCACCAACCTCATCTCTCTAATAATTTTTCACCCCCAGCTCCTGTTCCTTCATCACGTGTGCGGTCTGTTCGAGCAGGTCAGAGGCTTTTGATGTAGTCATCTTTGCAACTACTTTATCACTTCCTCCCCGCTGAGTCTAGAGAAACGGAATGGCCACATGAAAAAGAAAAAGCAGACTCTCATGTTCACTGTCCGTTTGAAATGCTGTTTTTTCAGGTGAAGAATTACTGCTGTTGCCAGTTGATGTGATGTCACTGATTTTACAGGAAAGCATGCGTCACATCAGAGGCTTTGTTCTTCCAGGGAAATCTTTTTGCTGACATGATGTAGAAACATCAGACTGCACAGAGCAGAGATCCTCTCAGCTTTACGCCCGATGTTCAATCCTGGCCCTGCATTCAAAGGACTGCAGTGTTTATTTTTCCGATATGTTTGGTTAGTTATTAGTTATTTGATGGCATGAAAACAGGGTGAGATGTCGTAATTGACATCTGAGACTGACCAGCGATTGGTCGTGAGAGTGTATCAACTGGACCTCGATTCCTCATCTCCATCCCCTGATCACGACTGCACAGACTGGTTCCATTGTTAGATGGCAGCGTTCGTATCCGGGATATCTGGCTTGATTTCTGGATAGTATTAGGAAGTGGAGACATGTTGTCCATCTTTATATTCACGCTATTGTGTCTAATTGATGTTAAATGTATTGAGATTAATATAAAATGTTAATGGATGTTTAGCTTATTCTAATATTCAAGCCATATTCCAGGTGTCAAGACAACTCACTCAAAAACACAAAGGCAAACCTCATTGTGGCGCTAGAAGGAAAGTGAAGGGGTCATCAAAGACTCAAGGAAGATTTGCCCAGTTGGGCTGACATTGATTTAAGAAAAAA